TAAGTTTATTATACTTTTCATACGAAACCACAACTAATGTACGTTTTGTGTCACAAAGTGATCCCATAACACATATAGGGGTTACCATGTGTGTTGATAAACACGCTGTAATTACACGTGACCTGTGGTCAGTCTACTCAAATCCAGAATATGTCCAGATTATTAAAAATCTCAACGAGCTGTCGGTAGCAAAGCAATTTGAAAGTTTAAAGTCACCTAGGGCTATTATTTTAAAATGTGGCACGTATAATATTAAAATCATCATGACTGATTGTCTGGCGATATTATGATGAGGCCATTGATAGGAAATTCTATTGCCTAACACTATATCCAATGAGAGATGTAGATTGGCCAAATGAAACTAACCACGGTCAGTTTGCAAAGTTTATAAACATTAAAATTAATGAAGATAGTATTTATCATAAGCTTCATCCAAAACAAATAAGTCGTTATAGAAGTGTATCAATTAACCTTCATCACAAGTCGGAACAATTTAGCATGGTTGATTTTTTTGCTGATAATGTAGCACATTTAGATTATATCAATAAAACTCGCTACCTAATTACTTATAGACAAATTATTATTGTTAATGAAGTACGCGGTATGAAGTATAAATATGGTTGTTTCGATCATGGTCAAACAAAGGATAGTTGTTTGGCTCAATGTCAAATCAAAGCTCAAATTCGCCGTGGTGATAAACTTAATGACAATACATTATATTATAAAAATACTACATATAACAAGACTGCGGACATTACCCATGTTTATTTTAAAGACATTGAGCAAAGATTTATTCATCATGAATGTATTGACAAATGCAACAACCGGGTTGAATGCGTACAATATTACCATTTATTAAATGTACAATCTACGAAACAAAGTTTTAATGGTAAAATAAATTATGAATACCAAATAGACTTTCCTATTGAGCCAACCGTTGTGTACGAAATATCCCTAAAAATACCGCTCGAAGAGTACATTAGTCTAACGGCTAGTATTATAAGCCTATGGTTCGGGTTTTCAATACTACTGTTCGCACAGTTTGCGCATAAATTAATGGCAAAATTTACATTTAATATTAACATTAATAATTTTAGAAATCCAGAATCAAGCAGTGTTGTAGTTAATAGAAATAATCATGGTTGTAGGGTAAATGGGGCAAGGGTTGTTCGTAGTAGAAATTGAAGTTTTAATTTATGTTGTTTGTATTTGATTGAATAACATAACTTGTCTACAAATACTATGGATTCTCTCGATTTAAATACATTTCAATTAAATACACTTTTTTAAATCATGCGCTGCTTTCATAAATAATTTGTTAAAGTCGTTATTACTATGGTTTAGACATTTTACACATGTGTTTCAATATTAAAGTAGAGACCATTTAATAAACCTCTGAAACCTCTTCAAAGAAAAGTTATATTATAGACAGTTATTTGAAAATATAATGTTTACAATTTTAACACAATTTAAATAAAACAGAATTTAACAGTAAAAATAATTTTTTAAAACATCAATATTAACAATCAACATGTCCATGTAAGTAATGATATTATTAATAAATTAGAAATTAAAGTAAATATATATTATTAACTATAATTAATCAACAGTAATTATTTAATAATATTACCTAATCCACCTAGAATTAATTCAGACAAATCCAACAAATCCCAACGCAAATACCCGATACCGGCCGATGCCATCACAACATTGCCCTATCATTACAACCATATTCACGACCTGATAGACCCACTGTCCAGACAATGGCTACAGGAGTCCAGTTTGTTTACGCCGGAGCAGTACAACCGGGTGGCCAACACCGGGCTCTACACCGAGTATTTCTATCCGTTTATTACGGACGAAGATCGGTACGAATTAATATTGATAAAATGATTATGCTACTTATTTTACATTTTTGTTCATGCTGATCACATCCACACAGGTACGATGTGCTGAACCGGCAAATGGTCAACTTTGCAATCATCGACGACCACTTGGAGACCCCGTACGGCGACATCGACCGACAGGCCATGAAGGCCAAGCCGGTGCTCGACCAATTTTACCATGTGTACGCTAAACTACTGGGTGGCCCAAACAGCGAACACATATCGGCACACAGTTGGAAACCGTACGTGTTGGCCAGTTATGCCATACAGGATCACATTTTTAGCGAGTTAAATGATGTACAGCGGCGCCGGTTTGTCCAACTTTGAACCGAATGAACCGACTCTATGATGACTGAGTGCCAGGATTTGAATAACAATAAACAGCATCTCGATCTTGATAAATTTTACGAGGCAAATATGCTTGGTTGTTATATCAACAAATAATAATTAATTTTTAATCAGTAGCTTATTGCCTAAAATAATTACTGATAGTTTGTCTAATTTGTTGACAATATTGACAACCTAGCACAAAAATATATGCAGTAGATTATACTGTATACCAACTATCATATAACATTATTTAACCAGTGTTATTAAATTATTATAATAATTACAGGTGAGAAGAATATCGGTGGCATTTATGCCGATATACTACATGTGCGAATACGCGCACCTAATGTTTGTACCCGAAGACGAGTGGCATAACCCACGGATGCAGCGGTTGTTCAAATTGCTCTCCAAAGCGGGAGTAATGTGTAACGACATCTATTCGTTCGAGAAGAAGGTGTTGGACGCCGGGGGGCTACCGGACGGCGCCTACAACGGGGTGTCGGTGTTGTGTCGTATGCATGACATACCAGTGGCCGACGCTATGCACCGATTGGCTCAAATGTGTCGCGAGTTAGAGCGCGAGGCGCAGGGGTTGGTCGCCGAAATACAAATGGCCGACTGGGCATGCGCACATATGCGCGATTTTGTCGCGCGCTTGTTATGGATTAATGGCGGTAATTGGAAAGTGTGCACAATGTTAGATTGTTATAATATTTTAATTTAGATATTAAATATATTATATTTTAATAAGTACATACAATATGTTTAATAAATTAAATTAATAATTATTGTTATAATTATTATCATAATAAATTACCTAAAATTTTTAATATAAAAGTAATATGAATAAAAGTAAATTTATTAAATAATTAAAACTATTATTGAATAATATAATATAATAAAACTAAGCGTATATTAATATTTCTCATATAGATTAGAGTAAA